ATAACGCATCGTTAAACCATTTTTTATTTCTCTGATCTTTTGACAGGGTAGCCCATTCACCAGCAAGTAGTGGTCTTCCATGGGGCCCTGAATGAACATATTTACATCGTTTATAACATTTATACAGAACAGTTACAAAAATAATACTCGTTTGCAAAATAAACATATATCATAAACCTAGTAAACAGTAATGTCAATAGGAAAATATTAATTAAGTCGCAATTATGTGAATAAGTCATGTAAATATTACAGAACATGCACATAGTGTATATACGGCTGAGCCATTCACAAATTGCAACTTTGTTTAAACAATCTCTTAAATGAATTGACAGAGGAAGCCGTTCTCAATGAATTATCTAGCTTATTCCATTCAAATATGGAAGAAACAATTGGGCTACACTTATAACAATCAGTGTGAAATCTAGGCACACGTAAACATCCACTGTCTATTTGCCTTGTATGATGCTCATGTACATCATTAGGATTGATTAAGCCTACCTGAAGGTAAGAAGGTGCTAAGTTATGAACGCATTTATATATCATCATAACACGACTTAACTCAAACCGCTTGTCTAGTGTCATCCATTTAAGACTTGTGAACAAATCAGCCGACGGTGTGTCATATGTCTTGTTCAATATTATTCTTGCGGCCCTCTTTTGAATTTTTTGCAGCTTAGTTGTATGAGAATGAAATCGGTTCGATGGACCATGGTTCAACCTTTTGTTCCGAAGCATGCTCTCTCTTGCTACTCATCCTTTGTAACACAGTAGGGAGTAATATATCTTTGTAAGTTAAGGGGTTGGTGGGGCAGGGTAGAAATTTGGGGAATTCCCATGCTCTACTGGCAGAGGCAATGCCTTTGTAATATTTGTACCCTCTGTATTTTGAAGAACAAGATTTTATGTATTCATAAAATGTCGGTGGGGTCATATATTTGATTAAATATTTTTTTTTATGACAGTCATGTTGGTTGGTGTGGAATGCTAGTCTTTATAACTTATTGTGACATAAGTTTGTAGCTCTGTGGTATAGTATCTTCTGTATATAGTCTCCAATCATAGACTTTGTTTTGACACTGGTATGCAATTTAAGATGAGCCGAGTCTAACCAAGATTGTTTGACACAGCCAGAAACTGGCAGATCTAGGCTCTGCTCAAGGAATTGTGGTACAGTGTCAAATCAGAACCTTTATTTGCAGACTAGGCAGGGACTGAGGAGCAGACATATCAAGAATGGCTGAACGATAAAAGTCTAATAATAACCTTGTTTCAACAGAGGAACAGTATATTTGATGGTAGTTTATACAATTATGAACTAGTATCAACAGAATCTGTTTGTTTGTGATGATGTCAAAACTGATACCTCATTTTGTTTGAGTACACATAACGTCAATACACTCATCTATTGGTATCATCTGCAAAACATATAATGATAACAGTTCACCAATGAATTATGATAAAGAAAACATTACTCTTTAATGACTTTGTTTAACACGTCATAAGAGAGATCGTGGCATTGAACTTCTTTACCTGATGCTAAGGAATATTTGATCTTTGATATTTGTTCTTGTATTTCTTATTTCAGTTTCATACACTTCTTTGATATACCTTTCTAACCCATTTGTTTGTTAACTATAGTATTACTTCATTTCCTCTTTCAGTTCATGTTCAATCACCATATCCTGTGACCATATCTGAGTGTGACCATGTAATGTGAATTTTTCACACAATTCATTTTTGTTTGAATTAGTATATACTGGTGAATATTAGATCTCTATCTTGTTTCTGTTCTTCTTTAAACAAATAAACAGAATTGCCGGACTGAAAGTTGATCAACACAATATACTTCCAACTGTGCAAATATAGGTTTCCTGGAACAATCGTTTTGCACCTTTGCGAGTATGCCACACAGGCAGTGCCAGTTCGAAAACTGTGAAAATTGAGGGGGCGCCTTACCACCTATAAAACCTAAATATGTACAAATATTTGGAGTTGCTCAAAAGTAGAAGGTTGATTGTTTGATCCCTTTTTATCTGCCATTGTCACATATATTGTTTGTTTTGTTTTATTTGTTTTTCGCATTTCAACATTGTCTGTTGATATGGACAGTTGCTTTTAAACTCTATGTACATTTCTATTCATATTAAATGCCCTTTTGGCTCTCAGCAGATTTTTTTTTTTTTATTTTTAATTTTTAATTTTTTTCGGGGGGGGGGGGGGACTTGGCCTTCACCTGCTGTAAAGATGATGTTTTAGAACAATGATTATCTAAACATATTCTTTGTCTATTCATTGACAAACTGAGCAGGGAGTACTATACTACTATTTCCCTCTAATTGTCAGAAATTGCTGAGAATTCCACCTCTGTGTTCATTTAACTAGAAAGAATCAAGAATTATCTCATCTATGTTTTCACCAAAGTTTACAAGATTGAATGGAAGGAATTGGATGAAATAAGTCTTCAATTCAACAGTAGTTTGATCCTGGCAAATTGTGGCTGCTTTTGAAACTTAATTGTCCTCCTATTCCTAAAATAAGGCTAATCTCCTGTATGAAAAGGCAGAGAATGATCTCCAAGAATCCACCAGTAGTTCCTTGTAAATAGGCCTTACTTCATCAGCTTGAGTTTGCCAAATAACGTGCTGTTTTCAGACTCGGGATATTATTCCGAAGCTCGAAATTGTGGCTTCACCAGACCGATACACTTATCACAAACTAGCGCGGACAGGCACAAATTAGCCCGCTATATTTCCCAAATATCGGGATATTTTGGAAAAAAGACCAAGATTTCTTGGGATATTTCTTGACCAAATATATCCTGCTAATTGCAACTGCGGGCTGATGAAAACGCAAATTAGCTAGATATTTTGTGATTGGGATAGTTAAAAAAGTAAGGTTATTTGGCAAACTCGAGCTGATGAAGACGGGCCTAATGAAAGGATCCAACCTTGAGCTGTGGTCCGCTGCACAACAAGGCGGGGGACAATCAAGACCATTCAGTAATCTCTGCTTGCTACTGTCTAATTATTCTTGTATAATCTGGAAAATAAGTGACAAGTTGAATGGCCTTGCTTGGTAATTAATGCATCCAACAATCGTCAGAGCTGTCCAATAAGGCTTCAGTTGCTGCGTTGTTTCCGTGAATAGATAAACCCATCGTGCCTCTCATTTCCTCTCTGAAAGTATGTGGCTAGGGTTTGGGAAAATGTATGGCCAAATTTGACTGAATTAATGTAGGGACTTGTGCGGGATGCGACTCTGTCACAATGACCAAATTGTTTTTGACAGTTTCGTCTTGTTTTTCAAAATCCATTATTCCATATCAAAGTTCATGGTCAATTTATTGACTGAAGAAGTGGAGATGCAAAGATGTGTTTAAGCTTTGGCACAGTACGCATTTCCTATATGGGATAGATATAGTATGATGTGCCATCAATGATTTCCAACAAATTTGAGGGTAATCATTTGAAACAACATCAAATTAATAATTTTAATAATATTGGATATTTTAATAACGCATATATCCACCACGCAAGATGCTCAAAGCACTCCAATATTACCCCGGCTCTGCTAGGCTACAGTTTCCGGTACTTATACAGCATTCAAGGAATTCTTTCCTACAGGTATCCATTTAACACTTGGGTGGGGAGTGGTAAATGCAGATTAGTGTCTTGCCAAAGACACAGGACTCAAATTGATGTAAACAATGTGATCCACACTCCAATGACATATCCGCTAGACCACGACACCTCTATTGTTATTAAAAAATTATATTTCCCCAGGGATCCTAGTCTTTGTGCAGTCAGATGAATATTAATTTCTTTATAAATGCCACTACTATTATGGATGGTAACAATACCAACATTTCTCCACACCCCCTTCTACTCCTCCTTCTCTTCCTCCTTTTCCTTCTACTCCAGTTCACTTCACTTCAGTTCAGTTTATTCAATACTTCATTAAAAATATACAAAGGTAAACAAACATATAAAAATTAAAAATTAATATTGATATATAGCATGGGAATGACATAAACAGAGAAGACGATATAAACAAGAAAAAGATTTGAATATATACATTAATGAAAGTATTTGAAGACAAGACACATAGACTGGGATATAATTTGTATCATTTTCTTCTTTAACCAAAAAAAAGCATGTTCCTTTTTAAGTTGTAACTTAATTCAAACTCTCAAATTCTCATAATTTAACTTCTTTACTATATTGGTCCGATTCATTTTGCCATTCTGTTTCTTTTATTTTTCTGCTTTCATACAAATCAACTTTTACAAGGGTTGGATTGCCCTTTAAGTATGATTATATAATAAAGTTACTCGAAATTTGTAATTTTCCTTCAAAACGAAGTCTAATTTGGTGACTGAAATTATTATTTTCATATGTAACTTTCATGTTTCCAACAAAAGATGGCAGCAGAGGGAGATGACAGGAGACATGTTCATGTCTCCTCAAGAAGATATAACCTACTGATTGAACAAGAATTTAAAATGAAAGTCCTGTCTTTCTATTGATAAGCATCCAAAGTTAGTTCTGCCTACTTTGAAGGAAACCTTAACTTAGTCTTGTTAAAGGTAAAGACCAGTTATGGTCATGCGATTGCATTGTGAAAGAAACGTTGTGGAATCGATCAAAAAAGGTTGATCATCTAGCATCTAGCATCTGCAAGGTTCTGGAATCATCAAAATGATAAGAAATTTGGCCCATTCTTATTATAGTTACAAGCACTATACACAGAAAGATGTATATGGGACTACCCTATATCTCTCACAGACCATGAGAGAAACAAATTTACCAAATATATGAATTAGTAGGCAGTTTCCCGGCAAATTTTTTATCATCATGTATTAGTCAAAACATATTCTTTCACATGATTGGTAATGAGAGCTTCCATTTCATTTTTTGAAATTGGGGCGTTTTCAATACTGGTCTTTACCTTTAACCTCTTTACCAAAAAATTATCAATAATTGTAATCTTTCCCTTGATAGGTGCTGAAGAAGATGGTATAGCGATTATCAAAACTGGTGAGGTGCTAGTCCTGGACTGCTTTGTGGAAGGCCCGGGTGGAGAACAAGACCATGAAGTCGTCTGGTTACTGGACGGTAACCAGGTGTCCAACGCTTCTAGACTAGTCCTGGAAGACCTGGACCATACTTATCACGGCAGCAACATAACATGCTACAATGGAACAGCTCTGGTGCAATCCAGGATCATACATTTTCATCATGGTAAGAATTTAAGAAAGATTTTCACCCGGCCTAGGAACCCATTCAGGACACTGAGAGAGTTCTGAGGGAGTGCTAAATATATCATCTTTTCCACTATACACTGGACACTAGTGTCTTCCCTTTCTTCAAATTTTTAGAAAATAATATAGTCATGCATTTGAAAAGAAGATACATAGACCAATCATGTTGTAAAGATAAGAAAATTACTTATTTCTATGAGTTGAAAGAGAGAAGCAAATTAGATTTCTGAAATGATGAAAGAATTACCTGATATCCTGCAAGTATTGTTTAAAAATAACTGACCTTAAGTCAGGAACTGAAACTCCTTGCTCAAGATTTCTTGATTTTGTTTTCTTCTGGTTTCAACAGAAGATGTCCTAGAAGCAGGTGAGACATTGAGACTGAACTGCACAACGTATCCCACCACTGCCTCCGATGTAACATGGCACCATAGCAACAAGATGGTTACATCAGACTGGGTTATCACTGACCTTGATAATGGCACATCGCAGCTGATGATACCCAATGTGATGCTTGATGATAGTGGGGTGTACTCCTGCATGTCTCCACAAGGTGCTACCATCAAGGTCTTCAATGTCTCAATAGGATGTGAGTACACGATATAATGTCAAGGGATATCCTCAAGAGGCACTTGTTGCCTTGCACTATAATCATAATAATGATAATAATAAAAACAGTGCTTTTATGAAATATAATAATAATAATTATGATAATATTCCGCTTACATAGGGCTTAATACAATATCTCTAAGCGCTTTACAGATATACTATTACCCCCGTCATTGGATTCAGTGCTTGCTTGCACACACTGTGTGCACAATCTCAACTCCCTGGAGAGCATTCAAGCCAGGCGTTACTTGACGCTCAAAAACTATTTGACCAACAATGGCGGTCGCATCCTACCGGGTACCCATGTAACATCTGGATGGGGAGTAGCAAGTGCAGGTTAATATCTTGGCAAAAAATATTAGTGCCGTGTCAGGATTCGAACCCTCGACCTTTGAATCTCCAGTCAAGGGCCTTAAACCACTCAGCCATGACACTCCCAGACAATAATATACAATAATGTTGAAGCGTTGAACAATAGGGGATAGAGCAACGTCGATCTGGCGGTGCTCAGTGGCTGCCGGGCTCACGATCAATTGGGCAAAAAGAATTTCCATTTTCGGTTTAACTTAATAAAATTTGGACTGGACTTTAAAAGATTATTATTATTATTATACAGCTCCCTCTTGGGCAGTAACTCACCAGGGAAATGGTTTGTCCTGACAACAAACCCTGGGACAAACACTCACCTCAGATAGTTACCCTTTTCAAAAAGTTACAACTTGAACAACCGTCACCAGCACAATAATGGAACAATTACGAATAATTCACCTTGGTACTTGTACTATCTATTGATTTGAGTTGGATGGTTATTGCTAGGGGTAAGCTAGCTGTAGCCTAGCTGTATGGTTATAAAATGTCCAATATAATGTTATTGTCATGAGTTGGAGATTGTCCATATAAGTTGTCCTTTGGTGATAGTCCAGAGTTATGCTGTCTGTTGTTCTGTAAGTTGCTCTTTTGTTGGAATACCATGCTTGTCCAAGTACATCTTGTTGGCTTATTTGGTAGCGACATGTACTTCACGTGCAACTTACTATATCTGTGTTTTGAAGTACTTTGAAACATTTGAAATGATTGCATCAAAATTTGCCAGTATGTGCATGCGAGAAACAATAGGCGTGCCAACGATTAAATGCTTTCAATGGCTATAAGGATTAATTTTGCATGTGTTTGAAAAATAGTTTTTAGGTAGGCATCAATACATACATGTAGAAGTACGCAAACATGTGCCTCAATATGGACACATGAGCATGTGTTTGAGAGATTGTTTTAAGTTCTAAGTTCTTCAAATTGTATAAACTTTATTTGCCTGTGCATCAATATAGACACCTACGTCGGGGAGAGTAATTGTTTTAAGCGCTAAGTTCTTCAAATAGGATAAACTTTATCCGTAAGGTGTGCATGTTGACATCATTTTAAATGATTTTGGACATGGCGCATGTCAGTGGATATCATATATAATGTCATTTTCTGACTTTTCCAGCCCACCTGTACCTGTCCAAGTGCTCATCTCTAGTTCATATTTCTGTTTCTTCTATGCAGTATTTCCACAAGCACCAGAAGTTGACTGTTTTGGATGCAATACTGTGGACTTCACTTGTGAATGGAAGGACATTTCTGATACTCATTTACCAACTGATGTCACCTATGAATACAAAGAGTACGGGTAAGCACAAGTCAGAGATGTACAATATAACTAGAAGATCTATGTCTGTATAAATTCTTAGCCAATTATTTCAGTTCTTACTTCTCATGCATGCTAATTTTGATATTTGGTGAATCCAATAAAATAATATAGGTAATACACAATAAAAGATAGGGCCTAGTCTTGTGTAGGTGATTTTTTTTTTGTCAATCCTATGCTGTGGCATAGTACTAGAAGGCCATCTACATGAAAAGAAGTTGAGGGGAAGACCTCGTAAAGGCTTTCTAGATGATTTAATTGCGGAATGTGGAGCAACGGGGTATGAAATGCTGAAACGGATGGCTAAAGACCGAAAGTACTTGGAGAGACACTTGAAGAAGAACTCTGATTGGGTCACTGAACCTGTCATAAACTGACAGATCACTAATTGATGATCCTACAATTCTTTTTCTATTTGTTCTTTTTGTTTTGTTCTAGACTTCAAAAATCCTGGACCGAGTGCCCAGGTTATCGTGAGTATGGATGTCACTTCGAAGGAAAGGATGCGTCAACATTCAGACTCAACATCACCAATGCACTAGGGACACTCAGTGTTGATGTTCCGGAGTACAGCCCTCTCGATCATTGTAAGTGAGAACGCACCCTCGGTGTAAAGGGTTATGATAGGCCTGTCTTTATCAGCTCGAGTTTGCCAAATAACCCGCTATTTTAACTATCGCAATCGATATTTGGTCGAGAAAATATCCCGAGAAATCTTGGTCTTGTTTCCAAAATATCCTGCTATTGGGGAAATAGCAGGCTAATTTGTGCCTGTCCGAGCTAGTTTGTGTTGAGCGTATCGCTCTGATGAAGACGCAATTTCGAGCTTCGGGATAATATCCAGAGTCTGAAAATAGTGGTTTATTTGGTAAACTCGAGCTGATGAAAACAGACTTATTGATAATAATAATAGTGGAGTCTTGTATAGGGTACAAGTCTGGCACATTGCCACTCCTGTCGCTCCATTATTATTACTTCGGCATTAGCATTAGCCATTACAATTGCTCCAATGCAGACCCATTTTGGTTGCCTTTTCATGTGGCTCGTAGTAAGGCAGGAGATCGCATATTCACTGTTGCAGCAGCTAAGGATTGCAATAAACTTTCCTCCAGTATAAAAGCTGCTTCATCAGTGGATGTTTTTAAGAAACTCCTTAAAAACCTACTTATTTTCTACTTGATTCGCTATTATTTTTTTGTTTGTTTAACGTTATGTTAAGATTTGTGGTTATATTGTTATATTGCATATTATTGTAAGCGCTGTGATATAGTGTACTACAAATAGCGTAGCTAAATGCCTAATAATAATATTAATAATAATAATAATAATACAATCAGTGTGGTCTCAAACTATGTGGCATGTCCAGGTGAAGGCTCGTGCTTTAGTGGATAGATGGCTCATGCGAGATGCTTTCGTGATCTCAGTCCTTGCTTGAAATCTTTTCGCCTGCATGCTCTTAGATACACGATCAATGAGTGGTTCGCAACAAAAATAAACCCCCTGTGAAAATAACTGCGAATACAGGAATGGGATATCATAAATATTTTGTTTTTCCCTTTTGTCTGGTAGTTACTGCCCCTGCGCCTAACATCACAAGTGTTGTTCCTGTATCCTCCCATACAATGGATATCCGATGGACGCTCTCTGGCTGTAACCTATACATTCAGCATTTTAAGTACAAGTTGACATATCAAGATCGCTCCACAGGGGAGGAGCTAACGGTGAGTTAGAAATTATTTCTATGTTATCAAGAATTATATACTAGTCACCGTGACACAGGAGGATGAGATAAAAAGCAATGTTGCAACAACAAAATTAGGATAATTAAAGTCATTTTGTTTTAATAAAGTTGAGTTCTGGTCATGCAATGGCATTGTGAAAGAAACTGTGGGAGTGGTTGGTAAAGGTTGATCATGTAGCACATAAGTGCCGGTATTTGTGAGGATTTGGAATCATCAATATGATAAGAAATTTGCCCAGTCTTGCTAAAAGTTACATGCACCGTACACAGAAATGTGTATATCGGACCGTGCTCGGAGTTAGGCTAGAAAGAAAAGCTTTAAAGCTTATCTGCCATAGTTTTACAGGAGGGATTAGACCGCCCTGCAAGGTCACTGGACAGGTGGTTATCTCATCAACTCAGCTCTCAGTTAACATAAGAAAAAGAGGATCATGGGGGACCAATGGTCACCAATTAGGCATTGTTTGTTGTATTTATTTATTTATTTATTTCTAATATTTTGACAGGGTAGCCCATTCACCAACAAGTAGTGGTCTTCCATGGGGCCCTGAATGAACATATTTACATCGTTTATAACATTTATACAGAACATTTACAAAAATAATACTCGTTTGCAAAATAAATATAATCATTAACCTAGTAAACAGTAATGTCAATAGGAAAATATTAATTAAGTCGCAATTATGTGAATAAGTCATGTAAATATTACAGAACATGCACGTAGTGTATGTACGGCTGAGCCATTCACAAATTACAACTTTGTTTAAACAATCTCTTAAATGAATTGACAGAGGAAGCCGTTCAGAGGGCGCAAGTAGCTACAAGTAGTGCAGTGGGCCTTTAGACAAGAAAATTTGCAGTATTTTTTCTGGTATCCCTTAACGGGACTGGAACCTAGCTAAAAGAAACTTGAATAGTTTTTACCTACAATGTACGGTATATGATGCCATCTTTTATGAGCGCTGTCTAGACCGTTCCTACTAAGACTTTAGGAGCAGATATATGCGCTGAACACAAGAATCCAGCGCTTCAATTGTGTTATTATTCAAGACGGCCAATTCACTTACCGGTACCTGTCTCAATTCTTAAGGATAAAGTTAGATAAAGAAGTGATTTGTTATGTTATCCTTCTTAAAGGTATAATGCAAAGTTTTGGGAAATTTTGAAAATTGGATAGATAGTAATTCTTTAAAATGCTGATATATTTGGATGCCCCTGTGGATGTATTATAAGCCCCTAAAACACTTCTGCTTTTGAGAAATTAATCAAAAATTTACTGAATCTCCCGGTAAATTTCAAATATTTTAAATAGCACCTAAGGCCATTCCATGGTAGCTGCGACCATGAAAATCTCAGATTATGCAGTTCTGATATAATTTCCAAACGGGCATAGCAAATCGGTCGATTGTAGTCAAGAAACATTGTTTAACAGTAATATCAGTCTTGAGAGGAAGCTATACAACCTAAAGAGTTTATTATTTACAATTTCATCACTTTAGACTCGATTTCAATGGCGACAACGATCACTGAATATTGTAGGACTGCGTCCAATATGTTCATTTGAACCAAATTCATGACCCCATACCAAAACTTTGTATTACCTTTAAGTCTGATTTACTTGCATTCCTCAATTCTTCAGGATAACATGATGCATGTATACTGTATGTTATTTGTAATGACTGGCTTAATTAAATCAATAAAATTGAAAATTGGATATCATACTAGCATGTGTAAAAGTGGTTTAACCCAAATATGATATGATTTCTCCTACAGCCGGTTATTATAAAGTATGACAGGCAGCATGCTTTAATTCTGGAAAATGCCAATACAGAATACTGTTTTCAAATGACAGCTCGTAAAAGTTCGTCTGACTGGGGGCTGTCATCTAAGGAAGTGTGCCGTAGAACTCTACCAACAGGTTAGTTTTTGTTATCTCTCTTATTTTGATAAAGGTCGGCGGAGGAGGCGATGTGATGCAATCAGATCCCCTATGTTCTGAATGCCGGAACCGGGTTCAGGGCAAAACACTACCGATATGTTCATTTGACTAGGAGAGTCGCGCCCTATGCGGGTAAACCATCTAAAAAACAAAACACTGAAAATGAAATATAATAATAAATGAATTAACAGTATTAATGTAGAGTGTGCATCAAATTCCTATACCCTATAACGTACAAATAGGTACATGGAATTATGTTTATGGTATATAGGCCTGTGTAGGCATGCTGTTTATTTACAAACTTTTATAGGCCTACATGGTTTTTATTTTTCTGGCATGTTTTATTTTCCCCTCGTCGACAAAGTGGGAGGGAATTTAGTAACGCCGCCGACCTTCCGTCCGTTCGTAATGAATCTGGTTTCCGTTCGATCACTTTAGTAATGTTTGACAGATTTTGATGAAATTTGGTATGAAGGTACATGGTATCAAAATACAGCCAAAGTTCGATTTTGGTCAAAGGTCATAGCTCATTAAATATACAAAAATGTGGTTTGCATGCATTTCCATTTTTTCAGTGTTCTTTAATTTTGTCACCTTCTCACATGCTTTAATCTTCTACTGCAAATCCCTGATTTTATTCACATTCTTTTTTAAAATCATCATACCAATTACAATAAAGTTTATTTTCAGATCTTCTCATGGGTCATTCTATAAAGTTGTAAACTTTTTGTACATCCAATCCCCAGGTATTAATAACTTCCTTGACTAGTAATGTAACAGTATAGTCTAATGGAGGTAACTTATGTCGTATATAGGCCATATGTACCTGGCGAGAGGGTGCTACGCTTTGCATTGACTTGTTTGTTAGGTAGTGTACCATGCAGTGTTAAGCAAGGCTTTACCAGAAGCCTGAAGTTATCTGAAGTTCAAGTTAGTATATAACCTTGTAGGTGTAGCCTAAGGGGGTGATGTGATGGTTGCCCCTCAAATGAATCAGAAAGGAGAAATATGAAGAAAATGCCCCTCCCTTCCTCCACTTTTTTCTCTTTTTTCAGGTGGGGGGGGGGGGGGGGAGGGGGGGGGGGTCATATCCAGTTGGCTTTTGACTGCAGCATCGTGTGGATGAAGTAGTAGATCATGTAGTCATAGGAGAAGGTGCAGATTTTTCTATCAGAGCTGTATTTCAAAATGTTGATCCTTATTCTCCATCTCTGCATTGATTGCTAGTGCCCAATGTAGGCTTTGAGGGAACAGACTACACCACTATTCAAAGTGAAGAGAGAGAGGATGAGAGAGATATTATACTAACATGGAAGGTAAGATCCGAGATCTGTTGTTGTTGTTTTATTTTTATTGTTGCAATAAGTACAAAATAATAATTCTGAGTACTGGTCTTGCTATGTATATTGTAGAACAAATTTTCTTGAAGCTGTTCTAAAGAGTTTAGTTGATTATGTAGTAAATGGGAACAATTGTGATCATCAAAGTTTCCACAAATTGAATAAATTGTGCCGAAAGTCTCAACAAATGAAAAACAGAGGACACAGCTATGAGTACATTTGTCTCCAAGAAACATGTGGCATATCAGACTTTCTACTTCTACTTCTATAGTAATACTCATCAACGCCTGTTCAGCATCTAGATGAGGGTAAAGCATAGAGTTGTTATATACAGCTCTATGTGGTACAGTTCCTAAAAAGGGAACTAAATTGTTTCAAGAGCCACCTTGAACTGCTCCAAAGAAGGCAGTTCGACGATGATCTGAGGTAGCTCGTCCCAGTCCTCCCTTAAGTTTCCTGGGGAAATAACTAAATTTGTAAGTGTCCATTGAAGAGCCTGTCTCATATATCGTTGTTGTTGACTCTTCTTTGTTGACTGTTCCGTCGGTTTGATAGAGAGGGGGAGAGAGAGGGGAAAGATTACTTTATTCCAAATTGTTTACTATTTCTATTCCTATTTTAAATATGAGAGCATTTCTGGAATCATCCTTTACCGTGGACTTCTCTTTTCTGATACTCTTCCAAAATGTCTTTATTAATAGTTGAGTGGTTTAAACTTTGGACTGGGAATGCAAAGGTTGTAGATTTGATTGAGCCCTCGTGTGGCACTTGTGTCCTTTAGCAAGGCATGAAACTACATTTAACACTCTCTACCCAGGTAGGAAGAAATTTCATGAATGCTGTGGTCGTCTTTATGTAAAAGGCTACATGACTACTGTAGTCGTCTACATTTTTTCTCCATCTCTGTCTGTCTCTCTCTCTCTGTCTCTCTCCTGACTCTCTCTCCCCCTCTCTCTCCCCCTCTCTCTCTCCCTCTCTTTCTCTCTCCTCTCTCTATTTTCTCTCTCCTCTCTCTACTTTCTCTCTCCTCTCTCTACTTTCTCTCTCCCTTTCTCTCTCTCTCTCTCCTCTCTACTTTCTCTCTCCCTATCCCTCTCTTTCTATCTCTCTCTCTCCCACTCTCCCACTCTCTCTTTCAAGGAAGAAGCATGTGTTATAGAATCTGCTGAGAAGGGCCACATGGAGGCCACTCTAACTTGTACGTTTCCTTGAAGGAGTTCATTAGACAAGTGTGACTGTGTCTGACCATTTTAAAGTTGAATACACCCCTGTGTCTTTCATGCGTTCTTCAATCTTTACTCTCTCGCTGATTTTATTCACAGCTGATTAAAACTGACAGTAAACCATTCCAGGGAGTTAGTCGCTTCGAGTTAGAAGTGAGACGAGACCGAAAAACCATCGACGACGGGACAGAGGGCAACACTACGATCATCTATGATCTTGAGGGTCGTAATGATTACAGTCTGGATCTGGACACTTTCAACCACACAATACAAGGTACAGTGAAACCTGCTTCAGTGACTGTTATACAAATAGTGAATGGTCATGAGTGCAATGGTACAAGATCACGGGGTGAAAGATAAGAGACGCTATATTCAACGAGGCGCAGCCGAGTTGAATGGAGCGTCTCATCTTTCACCATTGTGATCATATTAGTTGTGCATGCTTTGGTGTTCACTATAACAAAGTATGTGGATGGATGAAGTACAGATTTTCTCCGCCAGTGCAGTAAAATTTCACGAAGTTCATATGATTGATATATATCTCTATTCGTTCGTTCGTGTCTCCTTAGATCAAGATAGTTATGTAAAGTTCTTTAATTAAAAGTAAATTAAATTAAATTAAGTTCTTCCATCTTTATATCTCTATTAATTGCTGCACATGCGCAGTTTTGAATTGAGAAGTGGATTATTCCATGTAATACAATACTATTCATGCCAAAATAATATGATAATAATAATGAATATCTAGGGGCACTAGAAACGAAAAGTATCGGTACCATATTACTCTTAAAATGACAGATTTGCAAAGAAATAGACCTAAAATATAATAAGTACATCACATAAGACTATTGGGGAAAGAATTATGTTATAAAGGATCTATTTTTGTATCAAAGAATGGGATTGAATTGATATCACGCCTTGCATCTTGCTTAACAAGTTACCATTCTGGAATGTTTGCCTATATTCAGGTCTTGCCAGGTATGAGAACTATACGATCACTCTGTTGGCAGTAAACTCAGCTGGAAGATCTAAAGCTGTAACCCTAAAAGTCGTTGCTATGGTGGTGAGCAAAGAAGGAATTTCAGGTAAGAGTATGTGTACAACTTAAAGGGAAAGTCCACCCTAATCATTTAGGATTGCTTTAATAGAAGCGGAAACATGAGAGAAACAGGTCAATGGAAATTTGAGCAAATGCCAAGTAAAAATGAGAAAGTTATGAATTTTTAAAGTGTGTTTGAACAAACACAATTTGGTAATTTTCCTATCTTTATTTGGATATTGCTCAAATGTTCACAAATTTGTTTCTCTTATTTTTTTTTGCTTTTATTGAAACCAAGTTAATATCAGGGTGGACTATCCCTTTAAAGTGTACCGATCACCAACACATATTTTGGTCTGTATGCTAGGAGTTCCATGTCGCTTTACTATATTCAAAATATGAACTTCAAATATTACTTCTGTAAAGAGATATTACAAATGAAAAACACTCTCAATTAGCAGAAAAGCTACATTAAAAGAGATAGACTTAAAGTCAACGCAATGTTCACAAAGAATAGGGCCAGCATCGGACCCAAGCCTTGGTAAAGGGGCTTTCTAGTATTCTTTATTTTCTTCATAACTCTATATCTGTCAGCCCATAGATTGCCAGGTTAAAAGTGTTTTGACAATCTATTTTTACATTCTTGCTGTACCCAAATTATTATTTTGTGTGCAATTTGATCTTTAGTTTGTAATATCTCTTTGGTTCTGGTGGCAAAAATGAATTTAAAATGAAACTCGTTGGAAGCAGGCATACTGTTACACGTCTATCAGCAATAAATTTGTAAGATATTTTGATGTTCCTATCTATTCATGAGTTTGCATTCCAAGAAATCTGACCTTTTTCAATGTCACTGTCGCGTGCGATATAGTACACGCTTTGATCTTTAGTACTGGTAGCTTGAATGAACTTAAAATGAAACTTGTTTGATGCAGTTATATTGTTCCACGTCTATCAACAATAAATTTGTTAGATATTTTTATTTTCCTATCTATGACCTTTGCCAATGTCATTGCCATTGTCATTGACATTGTTGAGTCATAGTCTTTGTCATTATCATTGTGTTTGTGTTTGTCTTTGTCATTACATTGTCATCCCCATTGTCATTGTCATTTTCATTGTGACTCTCATTGTCAGTGACATTAGTCATTGTCAGTTTCATTGTCAGTGTGCTTGTCTTTGTCGTTGTCATTGTCTTAAACTTTGTCAGTCCATGTAGAATTTCTGTACCCTTTAATTCATAAATTCTTGTCATTATTATTTCCCATAGTTTTGATTATTGCTGGAGTGTGCGTTCCGCTGGTCGTCCTGCTAATCTTAGCCCTTCTTGCCTTTGCGTACCAGAGACTTGAGAACAACTCAAAGGACTTACCAAAGCCTGTCTACCGTGACGTAAGTAACCTCTCGTTCAGACTTCCTACACTCATCGTTTCGCTATACAAGAATCATATAGCTTTAATAGCTTGTACATTGTATGTTGAAACGTCATAAAATGTTTTTTGAAAATTTATTTTGGTATGCCCTTGTTTTCTGTGATGTTTGAAAGATGGAGGAAGCAAAATGCTTCAGAAACATGCTGTAATCACTGACAATTAATTGTCCTTGTTTTCAGAAACACCACATTCAATAACTGTTTTCAGAGCTACAATGGTTGCAACCGATATTATAGGCCTTTAATACTCAGATATGACGATGCAAAACCGAAGCCTTTTTTTGGTGATGACATAGAGTGACATACACGTCACATTTCTGTATTTTGTAACACAGTTCTAACTCAGTTCTAACTCAGCAAATTCATGCAGGACCTTTGTTGCGTGCAATTGCAATTCATTTACACATGAATAAACCACAGCAGTTTTTTGAGGTATTTCACAGGGTCATATCTGAATGAGCCTTGATTAGGCCAGTTTGTGCCCCGGCCCCCCCCCACTCAGTGTTATTTAGGGTACGCATATATGCATGTTCCCTCCTTTTGAAAACACCCCCTTAAGTCCGGTGTGTACAGTCAATACGGGCCCGATTTTTGTGTACTACGAGCCAGAGTTTGATGCGTGAAAAGTACCCCTTTACAGGACATTTTGGTAACACGCATGGTATCCCTCCGTTCATGGAGTGGCATGTGCACCGTGCCATTTGAAATGATGAAAGGCACGCTCATGCAACTTTACTTTTCATCTTCTTTTCCTATAGAATGTGGGCAACGTGAAGCCGACCAATATCGAGCGTGAGGTGTTTGATGAGCTCCCATCAGTCACGAAGGAGAAGCAGAGACAACTGCTCATCAGCCTTTCCAGAGAGTCAGCAGACTCTCAGTCAGAAGACAAAGGTTACAGAACATCCAGTACCAGCACCTCTGGGGTGGAGACAGACACATCTTCCTTGGAAAGGGGGAAGGTGGAAAAAGTTCCACTTCTCAAGATGCGCGAGATGCGGAACTTAGGCGGTAGCATCGACTCAAGTCCGTATTCCCTGCTGTCTGAACTCACCCCCTCCCGGCCTCATCTTCAGATGGCGCAGGATGCTGTGGAAACAGATTTGGACTCGTTTTCGCCCCCGGGAGGACACTATTCCTCCACGGATGAGGGGACGTCGGTGGGAGGAAGCAGCTCTTACAACCAGCTCAGTTGCTTCCGGGACACGTCTCATCCAAATCCTTACTATTCAATGTTCGGGCAGGTTCCAGTGAGGTCTATTGAGCCATCGAATGACTCAGGATATGTAGCTGATGGGAGTCAACAATGCTCCAATGTTGGATATGACGATCACCTACTTCGAGCTGACGATGCGGATGACGAGTCAAGCCAGCCTTCAACCCCAGCCACTCCGAATTGTGCCTACTACTCCTCTCTTTCCGATCGTACTGACCCTGCTGGCCAAGATAGGTCCTCTGGACCCTACTGTGATCCGTACGTGATTGCAGCGGCCATGCCAAGTTCCCCACCGTTGAGATTACAGTCTGTAAACCTAGCCACGATTGAAGAGAGTCCAAACCATTATGTACCCCAGGCAGCACCTAGGGTCCCAAATTCTCATAACGGCTCGCAGCCCCCCTGGAACTCTGGCTATGTGGATAACACTGACATATTTATGGGAAGGCCTTCTAGCCCACAAGATGATGCGAGTATTGACAGTAACCCCTCTTCTTCACAATCCTCCCCAGAACATGCTGTCATCATCCACACAAACACAAGAAGAAATCCTGACCCTTCTGGTGAATACATGGATAACACATACTTTTCCCATATGCCCAGTACTCCATTAAGCAACAGCAGTCTTCCAACATCAGCGGTCATTGATACTCCCATCGCCAGTCCAGTCAAGAGTAGCCCAAGAACACCTCAAAGCAATGGGTACGTTGACTGCCCACCTACCTCAAACTCGCCCAGCACCAGACCAAAAGGCAACTCTGGTTACGTCACGTGTGAGCAACTCCAGCAAGTCCAGACGTCTCTACCTCTTGAGGACACCCGCCAAGCCTCTGAACAACCCTTGCAGAGTCCTGCCCATGTTGGCACAGTCCTGCCAACTCTCTCAAGAAATGCCAGTGCATATGTGCCCATCACTCAGATGCCTGTTCCTGTACAAAGTGCTTACATCCCTGCAGACACTCCTGCTCAAAGACAGGCTTCACAGATAGATAGTGGCCCTTCTGGCATGGACACCATGTTGCCTCAGTCCTTACCTGCAGCTGATGTGAACAATGAACCTACTGATGGAGAACAGGAACCTTTGCGTGATGATCACAGGCAGGTGAATTCATCAGGGTACCAGCCACAGGAAGAAATCCCAAATACCAAGTTAGAAAGGGTACGAGAGAGTCCTACCCTGAGCAACAGCAATGAAGGACTTCAGGTCTGTGATGGCTCTGCACCTTCGCAGGTTGGTCCTAACAGACATAGATCATTACCTTGTGTTAATAATGGAGGCTATGTCAGCAAGGACATGACAAACTTCCCCTGTAGGACTGATCCTTCATTCCCAATAGAGCTAAATAACAATGGATATGTACGCATCAATTGAACAAATCGTTCCTGTTTTCACGAAGTGACGGTAGTGAGGAAAATCTGCATTCAAATTGTATGCGATTTTCATTCACTACCGTCACTTCGTGAAAATAGGGACGAAATACAGCAGTCACTTTTACTAAGTCACCAAAGAAGTGAACTGAGCAAGAAAAAATTTTGATGGATACATTCTGTTCTCAAGGATGCCTACAACAGTTACATATCTCAAGGATGGTGATGACTGTGATGACCCATGGAGGCAAAGAACTTGATTGAGGAGAAATTGTAATATATATATATATAATCTCCCATCTGAAATGGGAGAGCCTGGAGAGGAGAAGAAATGCTGCAAGCCTCCACCTCATGTACAAGATCCAAAACAACACAGTAGCCATCAATGGACACCATTACACAGCACCCATGATTGCCAGCAACACACGACAGTATCACTCAAAGAAGTTGCTGGCTATCCCATCCCGCACCCAGCTCTACCAGAACTCATTTTTCCCTCGGACAGTAACTACGTGGAATGCACTTTCAAAGATCACCCTTGACGCTACTTCACTGGAGGGCTTCAAGGGAGCGTTTCCACCAAGCATCTAGACCAAGAACTAGATAGTTTATTCCTCAGCACTACATCCTGACTTATGGATCCTGCTGAGTATCGTCGTAGAAGTAGAAGTAGAAGTATATTCCAAGTTTATACTCATGATCAGGTCTAGCGCCATCTCTTGTTCAATGCCTTTTAAGATTCCCCTGTTTAGTTCTTGATCTATTTTAAGAAGTTTGACATTGTTGGAAATGTTTGTGTATTTGTCTGAAACTTGTGATCATTATGTAATCTACTGTAATAGCTACATGTATAGTATGTATAATCCGTAGGTGTTACAATATGTGTGTCCCAAGACATTATGGATTTGCATAAACATATACTGGTTCATACATGTCCGTTATTGTAGAATACAGGACATGGTGCAAAAAAAAACTAATGTTTAAATTATTTCCTTGTTTTATTTTGTTTATGGATTAATCAAGGCTGTCAACAGGTTCTCAAATATAGGGAACACCAAATTAGGGAGTGGAATGTTCTAGTAGGGGGCTGGCTCCCTCTCCATGTAAGGACTACTTAAATGGGGTGTTAAAGTAGGCATACATATCAATGCATTGTTGAGTAAAAAATCCCCCCCCCCCAAAAAAAAGGGGGGAGAGGGACAAATGTTGTGAAGTTCTCCCTTTAAAGCAGGGGGAGGGGGGGACATGTACCCCTTGACCCCTGCTCATTAACACTCGTGAGATTAGGGAAGTTTTATTTGTTTGTTCTCTTTTCTGGGGGGGATGGGGTCAATTTTGAAATCCCAGGGAACATGATAAAAAGAAATAGAAAAAGTCTAACAAGAAATCAATCCTAGAAAGCATTTAAATTACCATCCAAGATGTAAAATCTATATTAAATGGTCTAAAAATCAGAGATTTTAGATGGGGTTCTCTGAATAGGGTAACAAAACTACTCTTGACTTCAATCCTTTTTAGGTTACTTTTCAGAAAGTTATTTGTGCTGATGATGTACAGTACTCAATGCCATATCGGGTTACATGTATGAAAATGTCAAAATGGCAGTGGTAATAGTGGTAGTACTTTTCTCCTTCTAATTTTGATATTATCTTTACACGATGCATTATCATGCTCAAATCAAATGTCATGTATGTACAGTTTAGTATTATTATGGAATATATTGGTGTTCTGTATATTTTAATTGATATGATATATCGTTATGAACTAAATCCTACCCTTGTATGCCTTCCTTCTTTCTTTCATGTTCAGTACTGACGAAGCACTTGCCTTTCTTAGATATTTATAAACATTTTCTTTACTTTGAGATGAATACTTTCAGATGATCATTGACATTATATATACAAATACATATATATATTTATTGGTTAGATTTTCAAAAGCAATTTCAGGTTACTGAAACTATGTAAAAATACACAAGGAGCTTTCGTGAAGTTACTTTCATAGCTGTTTTTGTTATTGAATTTGAGAGTATGGTTGAAAACGTTATAGTTTTCAAATGGCCAATAAAATATGGATTTATTATAATATCAATTTATTTCAAAGTTGTAAAATGAATAATCGATTATAATTACATTCCATAGTGAAGAATACTTTCAATTTTATAATGTAAGTCATTCATTGCCCACCCACAGTTTACATAATCTTTGGGGGGGGGGGACGAAAAACAAAACAAAAAGGTTGCTTTAAAAATTGTAGAATTTCTTGAGAGTGTTGTTGTTCTAGAATGAAGTAGTCCTTGGGGCAGAATTTGGGTTTACTCGACTATCAGATGAAATTAAAGGAAAATCTGAACTTTTTTTTTTTTTTAAGAGATGGCATTTTGGGGGGATTTTTTTTTTAAAGAGGAATAGGCGGATTCTTGCACAAATATCTTTTTAGCAACAATCATTGTTGCTCGTACCTGTGCATGTTGATAGAAACTAAAGAAGACAATTATTTTACTCTTCGTTTGTATTACCTTGAATACATAGCTCCAGCATCATTCAACTACATTTCAATTATTCATCAATTTACAACAGAGTTTATATATAATGTTCATATCAGGATGTACTAGTATTATAAAGTGTACGATTGAACACAGTGACCAAAATCTATCCATTTTTATACAAAAATTGTATACATTTATTGTTATATTAAGTGTAAGGGTATTTTACAAGGTGTTTTGAAAATCGTTTTGTGTTTCTGTGATTATGTTATTTTGTATGTGATGCAAAACAGTTTGGTTTTGGTGCACTAATTACAATTTTTGTGATTTCTCATTACATCTCATAGTTTCCTGCATTGGAAATTTTATGCAATGCAAGTATTGTTAATTCTGTACCATATGTTCATCAAACTCATCATGTTAATGAATTTATACATGTACAACTCGAAGGGAGACTTGTAATATATATATATTTTTAATGTTTTTGTTTTACTGAAATACACCTTGCCCCTTAACATATAATTTTATTTGACAAACACCACAAGAGGCTGTTGTCTTGTTCTTTTATATTATATTTATACAAAAAATATACCTTGCCAAAAATGAAGACACAGGTCTACATACTTAAAAAACTTCAAATGTATGTTTAAAAAACTTTTTTATGTTAAATTAAGTATACTTTATTCTTGAATATCAGGTCCATAATTTTTTTCTTTTTCCAGAAATAACACACAGGCTGTATTTTTTAGTTAGCTCTGCACGTACAAGATCAATGTAAAATCGTTTTGTTCAGTGTATTTCATCCTTATAGCTATTGTGATTGATTTAAATCAAACGCAACTTCAAATTGATCTCAACTGTGTACTAAAGAGATAGGAGTTGCAAGTAATTTCAAGTTGGGATTGATTCAAACCAAACGCAACTTCAAATTGATCTCAACTGTGTACTAAAGAGATAGGAGTTGCAAGTAAATTCAAGTTGGGATTGATTCAAACCAAACGCAACTTCAAATTGATCTCAACTGTGTACTAAAGAGATAGGAGTTGCAAGTAATTTCAAGTTGGGATTGATTCAAACCAAACGCAACTTCAAATTGATCTCAACTGTGTACTAAAGAGATAGGAGTTGCAAGTAAATTCAAGTGTGGATTGATTTGAGTCAATCGCAACTCTTTGGAAGACAGGGCCCAGAAATCCCATGACTTGCATTTCCATTTATTTCTATGTTGAGATGCAGGTTCACACTTCGTTTGTTGTCTAGAAAGATCACAGGGGTTGTATGTTTCTTTGAAATGTTACAATTAGAGCTTCGCACAGGATTATCATTATAGTTTCATCTTCATTATACAGTGAAACCTGTCTATATAGACCATCCAAGGGAGACAAGAAAATTGGTCTTTGTGGGCAGGCGGTTTTTATGTACAGGTTCCTTTAGTACATGTTTCAATAAGCAACCATTTTCAAGGGAAACAAAATATGTGGTCTTTCTATACAGGTGGTCACTAAAGCAGGTTAGACTGTACTTTATAATCCTTGGTGTTGTCAATTCATATTAACTTGGGTGAATGCATGATAGTTAGAAATTTTGTGCCAAAAGTGAAAAATTTTGAGGATGTTTGCAAAGATTTATATATTAATGGATTGGAAAATGTTCTCTTTTTGTTGTTGTTGTTGTTGAAAAAATGTTTATTGAAAGAGACAGAAATTTATTGAAACCAGGGTCATATAGAGTGGTGAAGTGTGACGTCATCAAAAAATCTGTTTTTAGAATTTCTCATTTTTTTTTCTTCATTTTCGGAAAGAGCATACAAAATAATGTCCAAATGTCGAAAACCAATTGAATATATTAAGTATTGGCCGAGATATGACCATCTGAATAAATAGATGTCCCATAAGAACTCAGTGTTATTTGCTCTGCCTCCTAACCATTACGAGCTAGAGCAAATAGCACTTAGTTCCTATAGGAAAGATATTTATTCAGATGGTCATATCTCAGCCAATACTCAACATATTCAATTGGTTTTTGACATTTGGACATTATTTTTGATGCTCTTTCGGAAAATGAAGAAAAATTTGAGAAATTCTCAAGTTTATGACGTCACAGCTTCGGTACTATATTTTCTTGATGTTCGCAACCATGTGAATGCGTATGTTCAGTACAAAGCTGTGCAAAAGATAAGGTAATTTTTGTGAATGTGTTATAAAGGGTTGTATATCAAGCCTATTTTTGTACCTGTTTCAAATAGGGATCATATTTTGTGGAAAATGTTTGTGAAAATATGTCAAATAGGGAGTCATTTTTCGAGCCCACTTATGATCATGTGCTACGCCTTTGAACTCAATAATGCATACGACTTGTAAGGCACCAAATCCACTCATAATCAACTTCAAATTCAAATTGTGAAAAAAATGAGATCACATAAAATCGAAAACCCGGCATGAGCAAAGTTTCTCTCCAGCCATTTGGTATTCAGCTCGAGACAGGAAGAACAAGTAATCTGGAGTTACATAATGATTCATCAAATAATGTTGTACTGTGGAGCAGAGCCATGTTTCATGGACATAATGGAATAAAAACAAATGACTTTTGAAACAATGCTTTCACTCATGGGTAACCAAGGGAGTGTATTGAGAACACGTGTAATGTGACTGTGTTTGTTCCAGAGGGGTTTGCTCGCTAGTTATAAGGACCGCTATTAATAAAGGAGCGCTATTCATTGAGTCGCGTTATGGATAGCGGTCCTTATGAATATTAGTCCTTATG